CTCTGATGCTGCTGTTCTGTGTCAGATGGCTTCATAAAGTCATCCACTACTTTATTTAAGCATTTCTTTTGATAGCTATGAGGAGTAATAGCTTCCTCCTGTATGTCCAATGAATAAATGTCATCACTTACGTCAGCATTATTATTTGAAATCAAATTTGAATTGCCCAAATGTAAAGTTGGAACTGCATTGGCTTTTAAATAACGTTTCCCAATATATTTTCGTTCAAAATGCCTGTTGCATATTCTAGCCCTTTTCCGGTCGAAATTATTAGGTAAATTGCATGCTATAATCCACTTGTTTAAATAATATTCTTTAGACGGAAACGCAAATAAGCTAACCGGAGAATGAATGGAACTGTTCCTATAACTCGCGCCACTCGTTTCAATAATGCATTTCCCGCCATTTCTCTGTTAACATTTTTTGACACCAACGGTTGATTTTTTTATAGCACTTGTTTCAGCCATAGTTAAAAAAAAAAAACTTATATAAATTTTGGCAGAATTAACAATAGAAAACTCTGAAGTGATAATAAAAGGTCGGTTAGCACCCCCTTTTGCAGATTTAATTCGAAATCGCTCGCACAATTAAAAGCCCGTGTCAGCCACACGCCAATGTTCACGTATTATGAACATACACACTTACAATATACCACAGGCAGTAAGAAATTCTTACTAAGAATCGTTTCCCACACTAACACATACATAATAGCAAATACATATAAAACGGGACTACAACGGACATTTGACGAACGTATTGAGAGAGAATTGAGTTTCGCGACGGCTGCAGACAAAAGCCCATACTATAAATGTGTGTGTGCATGCTCGTCGGGAAAATGTATTCTTTATGTGTACAACTGGCAGCAAGAGCTTCCCTCACAGTCATACATTTGGTCATACATGTACTAAGTGTGCAAGTGTGTGTGCATGCTTGTCGTGAAATCATATTCTTTGTGCGCATCAAAACTTTCATACCCTTCCCACGAATATCCATCGAAACGCTACATTTTGTTTGCATGGGCGTGGCAAACGCTTTTAAAATTTCGGTGTAATCTTCACTCAAATGGGGGATCGTCGCGAACAAATTTCATTTTTGTGCGATGCTGAGCTTGATGATTTGAGAGCCCATAAAGAGAGAGAGAGAAGGACAAAAAACGCAGAGCGCATAGAACGGGCCGGCGAGTAACTCATACACACATGTATGTACATATATGTGTGTGGTATAGTGACTGGGTAACTCGCGCTTATCTTTAAGAACCTGATTTTATTTCAATGACTGTGGGTTTGCCTATCAGAATGCATTTTTAAAGATTAAACTCAGTGGAAAAAATGGGATAAAATTTTCGATCCCCTGTACCCGTTCATATATGTACATACATATACAGGTGCATGCAAGTAAAAAACGTATCAAAAGTAATGGGAAGTGCACCTGTCACTTTAGTTAGTCCGCTATTTAAATATAAGCGCGCCTCTTCAATTAAAACCCAAAATCGTTCACACCATTAAAAGTTGAGGTAGGCACACGCCAATGTTCATCTCCCAAGCATACAAACAAAGATATACTCACACGCACATGTAAAGGCACATAGGCATACAAATGCTTCTACAAGTGATATCCCATAATTGTGAACAGCACATCCCATGCGTACACACAATCAAATGTATATACATACATACATACATATGTATGTGAGGACTTCACAAGATCGACCAAATGCAAATGCTGGACTGTAAAATTGCTACAGGCGGCAAGAGCCTCGCACACAGGCATACAAATGCTCATAGTACCAGTGTTGCCAGGTTTTGAGACATAAAAATAGCAAAATCGTCTCTAAAAAATAGCTGAAAATAGCTAAACATATTTTAAAATAGCTTACAAAATAGCTGAAACCTTTATGCATTATGCATTTACTTTAAATTTTATTTTTAAATGTTATTTAATAATGTTACAATTTGGTCCACATCCAAATCATCATCAGAATTAAATTTTTGATTAACTGGAATCATTTTTAAATATTTGGAAGGCACGGTATAATCATGGCAGCATTTGCCATTGCTGCGCAAGAAGAATTAGCGATGGTATAAATTCACAACTAGTGATGGTATAATTACGACAAAGTCGTGGTGGTAGTATCGCGCAGATCATTACGTACAATTTGGGACTTAATCGAAAAATGTTTTTTTTTTTTTGCTTTAAATACTAAAATCAAATTCAAAATATTCGTTTGTAAAATAGCTAAATTTATAGCTAATAGCATTTTCAAAATTTTCATAGCATTTAGGGTTCAAAAATAGCTAAAAATGCTATTAAATAGCTAATCTGGCAACACTGCATAGTACATGTAGCAAGCGAGAGTGTGTATGCATGCTAATCGCGAAAACATTTTCATTATGCGCACCAACGCTTTCATACCCTTCCCACAAATAATAACGAAAACGCATGGCAAACGGCTTGAAGAGTTCGGAATACACTTCACGTAAGGGAAGAAACGGCAGTCTAACGCGAAGAAATTTCGATTTTCGTGAGCTGCTGCTTGTGCTCACATGCATACATACATATACATATTGAGAGAGCAGAGAGCAGAGAGAGCGACAGAGCAAGAACAAAAATTGAGCATAGAGGCATCTTTTATTCAACATTTGACCATCTCGGTCGAGCGCATGAAGCGGAATGATTGTACTTTCGCATATTTTCGTAGCCCGAACCTAAAAAGTGAAGAGCCGAGCAAATACGAAATTGATAGGCCCTAGGAGACAGATTTTTCGGTGTTGAAAAACTTTGTACTACATGTCTAGTCTATGTGTTCTCTGGTCAGTGGTTACCGTTAGCTAGTTCTTAGAACTATTTTTGGGTCATCGATAGAGGAAGTTACTAGTAACTCAACTATCTAAATTTAATACTTATAGCTCTTAAACTGTAGGAGATATAAGCTTTTGCGGTTTGCCATGACACATTTGGGCGGAGATATATTCACCATAGCTCTTTGGACTTAGGTGTTCAACCCGCATATATATACCAGAATTTAAAAAGTCACTATATCTTCAGGGCCGACTTGCCACGCCTCCAGTAGGCGTAGACATATAACTTTTTCATCAATCTTTATAGAATCGTAGCATTAGCAAAATTTTAGCATTCTAGCCTTACACATTTAGAACTGCGCTCATACGAATTCACGGACGGACATGCACCAAACAAGTATACTCATTTCACTTTCGTGAATTATAATACAATTTTAAGTTTCTAGCTCATATCTTCTTCGACGCGGTGATACATACGGACGGGCGGACAGACAGACAGACGAACAGGGATGAATCGACTCAGCTCGTCGTCCTGGTCTGCCAGGCCTGTTACATACTTTTAACGAGCCGAGTATACCATTGAGTATTCCCATTGAAAATTGGTTCAGTGTATAACAACTAAGAATGCTCTGGTTGAAACTGCTTGCCCATGGCATCCCCTTTCGAGAAACTAACATTCAAATAATTTGTCGCTTCTTTTCTATTTATACAAGGGCACATATTTACAAATACGAGCTTATTAAGTTTATTTTAAGATTCACCATCTTAAAACCAATCATTATACTCATTCACGAAAGTGAATCAGTATATTGGTTTTGTGCAATGTCCGTCTTGCTGTCCGTCCGTCTGTCTGTCTGTCCGTCCGTCTGTCCGTATGAACGCAATCTATTTCGGCGCTATTGAAGCTAGAGACTTGAAATTTGGAACACATACTCGTGTATATCTCCGATTTATAAAGTGTTAAAATTTTCCCGATCCGCCCACTAGGGGCGTGGCAAATCGGAAAATGCATTTTCCGATATACCAGAAATCATGTTAGTTAAAGAGCTAGAAAGCTGAAATTTGGAATATAGATCCGCATCGACCACTAAGGATCACGAGCTATGGCGGATATATCTACGCCCATTGGGGGCGTGGCAAATCGGATAAAACTGTATCTCCTAAAGTTGTAAACCTAGAATGCTGAAATTTTGCACGTCAGCTAATAGTATGATTCTATAAAGTCTGAAGATAAATTATAAGTCTACGACCATTGGGGGCGTGGAAAATCGGACCTGAAGATATAGTGATTTTTTAAATTCTCCTATATTTTGGACACTATTGATGGCAGAGACCTCAAATTTTGTATATATACTCGGACTGATCACCCAAGACCAAAAAGTTTTGTCGGATATATGTCCGCCCACAGGGGGCGTGGCAAACCGCAAAAGTTTATATCTCCTAAAGTATAATAGCTAGAAGCTTCAAATTTGGATAGTTGAGTTACTGGTAGCCTCCTCTATCGATTCCCCAAAAATAATTTTTACGCCTCTTTAGGGGCATGGCATATCGAAAAATACCCTGGTATTTTCACATTCTTTGAGGGTAAGCATTCAAACTTTGCAGTTAGGGTACCGTTATCTCTTTCTAAAAACTGACCAAAAATGAGGTGTCTACGCCCAGTTGGGGCGTGGCAAATCGGAAAAACCTGTATATTCTACAGTATTAGAGCGAAACTTAACTACTAAATTGTTGATGGGATGTGAATGAGTATTCCGCAGTCGGTAACGCCCGACTGCAACGTTCTTACTTGTTTTTTATTGATTTTCTGCGTGTGCACAAAATTTACAAATTTAAAGCCCCTAGCTGTTTTAGGTTATGAAATCGAAGCGTTCATATATACTGATGGACGGACGGACATAAAACAGGGTCCTAAGAGAAATTTTATAAATGAGTATACAGCTTATTTGGCTTAAGAGATCACATACAGGCGCTCTAATAAGTATGTATTGTAATTATGTACGTATATGTATTTTATTGGGTCTGTGTAAGCAGAAAAGAAGCGAAGTTTCTCGAAGGAGTTAGGTACCAGCAAAAAGGGGGAAGTCTAGACAAGAAATTAATGAATAATTACCTAAAAAGGCTAAAAGTATTTAGAACTTTAAATTATTTTACAATTTTAAAATTATAATATTATAATTACTTTTTTCTTTCACAAAAAAGGAAAAACCTCACAAGTGCAATTTGTGCGCTAAATCATTTCCAACTCCTGGCGATTTAAAGTCACACAACTACGTTCACAGTGGAACCTGGCCATTTAAATGTACAATTTGCTTCCGTGGATTTTCGAAGCAGACGAATTTGAAAAATCATTTGTTTCTGCACAGTGGTAAGTCCTAACTAAATTTAATTAAAACAAGTAAGAAAGGTGCAATCATACGTTACTGACTCCAGAATACTCATTCACAAACCAATTTCTGATTTGACACGCCCACAATCGGTATACAAAAGATACATATATATTATATATATATACATACTAGCTGGCCCGGCAAACGTTGCATTGCCCTATCCATTATTTCTAGGTCAAAAATTGTTGAAAGCTATGTTGTTCAGGTTGGGATACACTCTGATTAATTTATTAATCGGATTTTCATTCAAGCACCTTGTGGTAAACGACATTCTTCGTTTTTTGGTCGGGTGCAAGAACAAATAATGCGGATGGTTTGCCAACACGTGAGCATGCCACGTACAATTGACCCTGTGATTTGTTTATCGTCATGGCGAAGGCAGTTTCCTCACCTGAAACAAATACAGTAAAAATTTTATTTTAGAACCCCTAATAGGTTTACGACTCTTACAGCTACTCTCTACTAAATTAAGAGTGATAACTTTTTTGTGTACCAAAAGCAAACAGAATGAAATGTATATAAAGTTAAAATGAAAACAATGATTTTACCATTCAATGGATTAATCATTTTGATATTAAAGTGATATCCATCGTCTCCTTGCCAAAACATCAGTGGGTATTGTAAAGCGTCATTTGAACGGTGCGTTTCAGATATTCTTTGTAGTTGCCCAGTACTGCGTCGTGCAAGCACAATATCGCGTGCTTCCAAGCTTTCACCAACAATCAAGATTGCCACTTCATCGATTGTTGGAGCATTAAATGTGTTCATGTGTTCCAGCTGGTCCTTTATCTGCTCAGATTACTACTTTATAGTCATCTCTTGGCATGCGCTCTAATGCAGTCTTGAACGCTTGACCAATGCATGATGTTCGTGAAGCCAGTCAAGTTGTTCTTCTATATTGCCCATGAAGTATATTTGCCAGAATTTGTGCTGTGCATCTTCAATAGGTTGCAATGATCCAATGCGATAGCAAATCTGGCCTTGAATCTTTAAATTCAAAGCCATAGTTATAGTTTGATTTACAAATACTTTTTACAGAAATTTAACAAACTACATTATTCCAAAAAAATTATTTTTTTTTTTTGACAGTCATAGAAAATAAAATTTTTAACGTAAATTACCTTAAATGTCGGATTATATCCGACTCCAATAATTTCCGCCCCAAATGAAGTCATTTGGAAACAGGCATTGTATTTTTGAGTGTTCGCTAGAAAATGTCGTGATTCTAGTGTTTCGCCATAAAGCAGGGAACGCAATGGCTCTGGTGGCGGGACCACTAATGGCAATGTCACTTTACCACTAAGGCAGCACAAACCGGGCGTTTCACCAGCAAACTTCAATGCGCCACAATGCTGGCAAACAACGTCCATTGGACCAATGCAAACTAAACGATTCAAGCTGTAGTCAATGGTGCAATCATATCGAAACGCTGCTCGATTCAAATCAATCCTTGAACCATTTCTTATTGCCGTTTCACGGGCTGCCTCTCTTTGAGAAGCACGAATTAGGGCCCTTCTTTGCTGGGTACTAACGCGGCGCCTTTCTCGGGCGATTTCTCGTTCTTCGTCAGATAATTGACTCGTGATATTCCGATGCCTAATTGCATTATGGGTCCGCCGGGAAAGATTAGATCTTCTAGGACGCGGCATTTTTATCAATAGTAACACTGAATATGCCCTCGCACAAAACCACATAAAACAATCGAGAAATATAAATATAAATAATTTACACAAATTTATGTTTGAGACAAACAAATACCTGAACTTTCGAGATATTTAGCTTTTGTACGCACGCGTATTATTTTTATCAAATGTGCTTTTTTTTATGAATAGTCAGGTTCGCCTGAGGCTGTGCCGTAGACTGACTGACTACATTTGTTTATTTACTTCTATACAGGACCGAAACTGTCACTGTTATCAAGCCTACTGAGTATCAATGGAAATTTGAATCTTTAGGGAAAAACCGCGTTTTTCAAGTATTCGTCAAATTTTTTCAGCATTTTAAAGATCTACTGACCTACTCGTGGCGGAAACAAATCCAACAAATCAAAAACAATGAAAATTGGTCCAGCACATATCAAGTTATAAGTCTCTGTACACTTTTACACAACTCTCTTTTATATATATAGATATTACTATTTATTTGGCAAGAAAGTGTTTAGACAGGGAAAAAATTTTAATTTTTTACTTTGAAGCGAAATAATAGCAGTAAGAATATGCATCTTCAAATTTTTATACCCTGAACCCATTTTCAATAGGAAATCCGGGTATAAAGGTTTTATTGAAATGTATGTAACAGGCAGAAGGAGGCGTGGCAGACCCCGCAAAGTATATATATTCTTGATCAGGGCGACGAGCTGAGTTAGCTCTGTCCGTTTGTCTGTCTGTCTGTCTGTCCGTCCATCTGTCCGTCTGTCAGTATGTTTGAACACGTCGATTTCAGAAGATATAAGAGCTAGAGACTTCAAAGACTTACATTTAAGTAGCTGACTAACTAAAGTAACAAGTGCACTTCCTATTACTTGCCTTGTGAAGTGAGCACATGCATACATACATTTGCGTATGTGTATGCTTGTATTGGATGGCAAGCTAATTGTCTCTGGAATTAGTAGTTTGTAAATTTTGTATGATTTGAATCGTAGGGTGACTATCAAATGGGCCATTATGACTTAATTAGAAATTTTTGACAATTATGAGTAAAGCTTCAGTATAATATGACATGTGTATTTCATATATTGCAATGCATTTAATAAAGTTAGTAGTGTTTTACGATAATTTGTTCGGTTAAAAATGTGTATAAAATAATTTTAATTATATATAATTATTTACTGGTATAAACACATTTATAAACATGATTAGCAATAATAATATATAAATGTACTTATGTACATATGTATGTATGTTCATACATAGTACATCTGTTTAAAGTGGTTATGACAGTCCGTAAGACCGACCAAATGCAAATGCTGGGCTTTAAAATTGCTATAAGCAGCAAGAGTAACGCACGCAGGTCACAAATGCTCATACATGTAGCAAGGGACTACAAGTGTGTGTGTACTTGCCCGTCGCGAAATAATATTGTTTATGCGTATCAACGCTTTCATACCCTTCCCACGAATAACCATCGAATCGCTTACATTTTGTTTGCATGAACGTGACAAATGCTTTTATGATTTCGGTATACCCTTCACTCAAGAGGAAAGAGCTGGGATCGTCGCGAACAATATTCAATTTCTGTGCGCTGCTGCTATTTGAGAGACCATAAGAGAGAGAGAGAGAGAGAGAGAGAGATAATAAAGAGAGGGAGAGAGTGAGGAAGGGAAAATGAGCGCATAACCGTGCTTCATTTGATAATGTGTGCATTTCGTGGCAGCAGTCGCAGCGCACTGATTTTGTCTTGCCTTATTTTCACTGCTTGAGCCTCAAACGGCCGAGCCGACCAAATACGAAGTTGTCCGGTCTCTTCAGCGCATTTTTTCGGTGTTGGAAAAGTTTGTTCTACATGTCTAGTCTATGTGTTCTCTGGTCAGTGTCCGAGTTTTGTTTTAAGTATCGATAACTTGCCCAGTTATATTTTATCGGTTAAAAACATTATCGAAAACCAGTAATAAATTTATATCTGCTATGTCTTTTTAATGTAGATTCATATCACTAACCAGAGAACACATAGACCGGACAAGTAGTGTAAAGCGTTTTGCACACTTTTTTTCGGGAGTTATCTCCCAGACCACTTCGTATTTGCTCGGCTCTTCACTTTTAGGTTCGGGCTACGGAAATATACGAAAGCACAATCATTTCGCTTCATGCGCTCGACCGAGATGGTCAAATATTGAGCAATAGATCCCTCTATGCTCAATGTTTCCCTTGTTCTCTCTCTCTCGATGCTCTCTGCTCTCTCAAATATGTATGTATGCATGTCAGCACAAGCAGCAGCTCACGAAAATTGAAATTTCGTCGCGTTAGACACCCGTTTCTTCCCTTCTAACTTTTCCCTAACTTTTCAAATCGTTTGCTATGCTCATGCGAAATGTTTGCGTTTTCGTTATTATTTGTGGAAAGGGTATGAAAACGTTGGTGCGCATAATGAAAATTCTTTCGCGACGAGCATACACACACACTGTCCCTTGCTACATGTACTATGAGCATTTGTATGGCTGTGTGTGAAGCTCTGGCTGCCTGTAACAATTTTGAAGCCCAGCATTTGCATTTGTCGATCTTGTGAAGTGCTCACATACATATGTATGTATGTATGTATGTATGTATATACATTTGATTGTGTGTACGTATGGGAGGCGCTGCTCACAATTTTGGGATATAACTTGTAGAAGCAATTTAATGCCTATGTGCCTTTACATGTGCGTGTGTGTGTGTGCGTGTGTCTTGTGTAAGCAGAAAGACGCGAAAAATTATTGAAATAGTTAGAAATAAATAAATATGTAAATACACATGTATATTGGATACAGGCTTCAAGCACACATACACACACGCACATGTAAAGGCACATAGGCATACAATTGCTTCTACAAGTGATATCCCATAGTTGTGAGCATCGCATCCCATGCGTACACACAATAAAATGTATATACATACATACATACATATGTATGTGAGCACTTCACAAGATCGACCAAATGCAAATGCTGGGATTTAAAATTGCTATAGGCAGCAAGAGCTTCGCACACAGGCATACAAATGCTCATTATACGCACCAACGCTTTCGTACCCTTCCCACAAATAATAACGAAAACGCAAACATTCTGATCGAGCATGGCAAACAGCTTGAAGAGTTCGGAATACTCTTCACTCAGAAGGGAAGGCATGGGTTCTTGCTGCTTGTGCCCACATGCATACATATGTCGGCGCGTGCAGTTCGTGCTGTGTGTGTGAGGCTTTTCGCAAGAATGTAATTTCATCATAATGTGAAGATTGCATCAGCCTTTACTTGAGATGCGATTGGCTGATGGCATTTTGTAGTTTTGGAAAGTCCCGTTTTAGCGCGGCGACAGCGTTACGACGCTGTCCCCGAGCGTGGTTCGTTGGTAGGCACAAAAGAATAAGTGTGCGACGCAAGTCAGTTCTATCACTAACCAGAGAACACATAGACCGGACAAGTAGTGTAAAGCGTTTTGCACACTTTTGTCGGGAGTTATCTCCCAGACACTTCGTATTTGCTCGGCTCTTCACTTTTTGGGTTCGGGCTACGAAAATATACGAAAGCACAATCATTTCGCTTCATGCGCTCGACCGAGATGGTCGACTGTTGAACAAAAGATCCCTCTGCGCTGAATGTTTCCCTTGCTCTCTCTCTCTCACGATGCTCTCTGCTCTCTCAAATATGTATATGTATGTATGCATGTGAGCACAAGCAGCGCTCACAAATTGAAATTTCTTCGCAGCGAGAGCCCATGCCTACCCTTATGTGTGAAGAGTTTACCGAACTTTTCAAACCGTTTGACATGCGTTTTCGTTATTATTTGTGGGAAGGGTATGAAAGCGTTGGTGCGCATAATGAAAATGTTTTCACGACGAGCATGCACACACACACTTACAGTATGCTGCATGTACTATGAACATTTGTATGCCTGTGTGCGAAGCTCTTTCTGCCTGTAGCAATTTTAAATCCCAGCATTTGCATTTGGTCGATCTTGTGAAGTGCTCACATACATATGTATGTATGTATGTATGTATGTATAAACATTTGATTGTGTGTACGTATGGGAGGCGCTGCTCACAATTTTGGGATATAACTTGTAGAAGCACTTGTATGCATGTTTGTCCGTATGTTTGAATGCGTCGATTTCCGAAGATATAAGAGCTAGAGACTTCAAATTTTTTGTAAAATGTTCGTAATTACAGCGCGGATATTGAGTTTATCATTAAAAATCGATAACTCATCCCGATCTTTTTTATCGATAAAAAACCTTATCGAAACCCAGTTATAAAATTATATCTTCTACACCTTTATTGCTAGAGTCTCCAAAATTTTAATGTATGCTTATATGCAATTTATACAATTTCGGTTTTTGTTAAAATTTACCCCCCCACCCTTAAATTCACCCCCTCACCCTCACTTTTGTAAAAAGCGTATTTCAAATACTAGAGACTTGTGCTTTAGCAATTACATGCATATCCATGTTATAATCATAATCTGATAGTTTCATGAAGTTATTAAGTTATTAAGCAATTAAGTTCTCATAGTAAGCGCTCACTGCCGCCCATGCGTGTTTATGCTTGTGTGTGTATATGTATGTAAATGTTTGTGTATGTGTGTATGTTTTGGCAAGGAGACGATGGATATCACTTTTATATCAAAATGATTAATCAATTGAATGGTAAGATCAATATCATTGTTTTCATTTTAACTTGATATACATTTTATTCTGTTTGCTTTTGGTACACCAAAAAATTTCTCACTCATAATTTAGTAGGGAGTAGCTTATTAGGGGTTCTAAAATACAAATTTTACTGTATTTGTTTCAGGTGGGGAAACTACCAAGAAGGTTAGTTCGATGAATTATTACGCATATTGTTTGATGATTCGTGAAAATTCTAACAATTATCTATATTTATATTTTTTTTGTATTTTCATAGAAGCCTAAATTAGTTCAGCTGAAAGGTAACACGACATTACTTACTGATTTTAATACAAAAATTTGACAGCTCCGAAATTAAATAACTTTTAGGGAAAATAACGTATTTTTCAAGTATTCCCAAATTTTTCAGTATTTTTAAAATACATACTGCTATTCGGGGCGGAGACAATTCCAACAAATCAAAAACCATGAAAATTGGTGCAGCAGATCTCGAATTATAAGTTTTGTAACAAACTCGACTTTGTTTTATATATATAGAGACTGTTAGGCGGTACGAAGTTCGCCGGGACAACTAGTATATTTTATATAATTTGGAACAATAGGTCTAAACTCTCTCTAGTCCGAATATAAACTGAACTAAATCTGTTCTACTGGTTAAGTTCTCCCCTTGAATGTCTGACTGGACTCTCCAGCCTCCTTAGATTGTCGAAAGTCTTAACTCTTTCCCATCTAAATATCTGCGTCCGCAGATCAGGGTGCATATGTCCATTATAATGATATTCATCCAACATAAATTGCCCAATATAATGATATTTATCCAATATAAATTGCCCAATATAATGATATTTATCCAATATAAATTTATTATCCATAGTCGATAGTTCGAGAGTCCATAAATTAGCAGAAAGAGGGCCATCGATATCCACCTTCAAGTTAATTCAAAGCATTCATAGTTCCATACATTTAGTATTCATTTGTGGTTGTGACAATACATCCAACATTGTAAGCACATTTATTTCATTCCCTCTGGCATCTTAGAAATCCCTATTACCATGAATGATCGAAACTAGGATGGATATACTATTTTCTTAAGTGTGATTTATGAAGAATTTTTCCAGTTTTGTTTTGATTGTCACATTGCGGTTTTCCTTTACTTCGTCTTTTGCAAATCTTTTTTTGTCCTTAGTCTTAATTTGATTTTTTCTTTTATAGTATTTCATTGAATTACTAATTGAATTGCGTGTGTTATGTGTATTACTACGTGTGTTATTGCGATGTCTGTTATAGAATTACTTGAATTACCGATTACTAGTTGTATTATCTTTTGTTACCGAACCGGCAAACAGTTTTTATTATTTTATATGGCTTGGGAAGCCCTCAGGATCCTTTTTGGTGTAAGGCCTACTTAGGTGAGGGTGGTTCCACAATCATCTGGTCTCTCTCTTACTTTCGTTACATTTATTTATTTATTTTACTTTTTATACCCTGAACCCATTGAAAATGGGAAATCAGGGTAAAGTGGTTTTGTTGAAATGTATGTAACAGGCAGAAGGAGGCGTGGCAGACCCCACATAGTATATATATTCTTGATCAGGGCGACGAGCTGAGTTGATTTGGCCCTGTCCGTCTGTCTGTCCGTCCGTCCGTCCGTCCGTCCGTCTGTCCGTCCGTCTGTCCGTATGTATGAACGCGTCGATTTCAGAAGATATAAGAGCTAGAGACTTTTTTTTTCTAGGTCCGTGTATATCACGCGCATATCAAGTTTTTCTTTATATATCGATAACTACTCCCGATATTTTATTATCGATCAAACCCCTTATCGAAAGCTAGTTATTTAATTATATCTCCTACACCTTTAGAGATTGAGCTTTCAAAATTTAAATGTAGACTTTTATGTATTTTATATAATTTCGATTTTTGTTGTAATTTATCCCCTACTCCTATATCCACCCCCTCACCATCGCCTTTGTAAAAAGCGTATTTCAAATACTAGAGACGTGCTTTGGCATATACACGTACTTTAATGTTATATTAATGATCATGAGTTTCATGAGCATAGTTCATCAACAAGAAAAGTTATTGAACAATTAAATAGTAGTAGTAAACCCACACTGCAATCCATGCGTGTTTATGCGTGCAGGCCTATGTGTGTGTTTCTTGTGTAAAAGTGGGAATAATTATTGTGGAATATCAATTCTTAGAAGGGTTCAGGGGATTTCGTAGTCGAGCAATCTCGACTAGAGCTTTCTTATTTGTTTGTATAGCAGGAATGTTTGCAATTATCATATTAAAATACAAAGAAATTTAAAAATTTATTATTTAATGGATTTTTTACATATAATTTAAATGCATACCAAATGTATGTTTATTTATTTTACATTTTTTATTTAATTAGGGGATAAACCGCATGGCTGTGCATTATGTGGAAAAAAATTTGCATTAGCGTGCAACCTGAGAGCACACATGAAAACCCACGATGGTAAGAGTATAGACAATAATACAATAAGTAGGATAAAATTAAAAATAAAGATAATTCAGTAATCTTTCCTTAAAATAAGAAAAAAATATGTACACGTATGTATGTAAGAAATATGGATCAGGGTGACCGCGCCGGACCAAACGAAAAATACAAATTTGGTCTCAAAAATATACTATAAAATACTATTTCATATTTTACAAAATACCACTATAAATACCATAACAAATAAATCGTCTGGAAACTCAAATTATAATAAAATAATAACTGACTTATTATATATAGAAAAAATAAGGGTTTTCCCATTGCAAAAAATGTTTGTTGTTTATTTCATTTTAAAAAATTAATAATATTTCAGTCCAACATAAAACTAGAACAATATGCATTCGTATTCAATTCCATATTTCAATATATATTTAAAGTCTTAAAATTAATTAAATGCTTAAAATTCATTTTGTAACATTTTCTTAAAATAAAATAATAAAGGAACTTCTTTGTTCAGTCTTGCTAGTTTCTCTTAAGATCATTTAATTATATTTACTAGCCTTCTTCGTCAGAGCAGCTTAAATTCAATTTGTTGAAATCTTTAAATAACACTTGTTCACTGGGCTTAAAATTATTGCACCCATTTTCGCGCAATGATTATTGTACATGTAATATATGTGATATATTTACATTTTTAAAGCGGTTTCGATTTTTCGTTTTGATTAAATTAATTTGAGAGAATATGCGTTCACACGACGGATTAGAAACGGGCAAAATTATTAAATCTTTGTTTTTGTGTAGCCGCATGCTGCTTAAGTGACGCCAGCCTACTCAAAATGTTAGTCTGGCACGCTTTGCAGTGCGCATCCATATTATTAGCGCTCCTTCCCAGCCACAAATGCTCACACATGATTCAAGAGACTGCAAGTGTGTGTGTGCTTGCCCGTCGCGAAATCATATTGTTTATGCGCATAAACGTTTTCATACTCTTCCCAAAGAGCTGAGTCGAATTGCTAGTCTTGAAATTGTTTTTCCTAGGTCCGTGTATACGACGCGCATATCGAGTTTTGCTTTAAGACTTGATAACTTTCCCCGTTATTTTGCTATCGATTAAAAACATAATCGAAAACCAGTAATAAATGTACACGATTGAGTGATAGTAGGTTATGCCACTAACCAGAGAACACATAGACCGGACACGTAGTGTAAAGCGTTTTGCACACTTTTTTTCGAACGTTAACACCCCAGACAACTTCGTATTCGCTCGGCTCCTCACTTTTAGGTTTGGGTTACTAAAATATACGAAAGCACAATCATTTCGCTTCATGCGCTCGACCGAGATGGTCAAATGTTGAACAAAAGATCCCTCTATGCTCAATGTTTCCCTTGCTCTCTCTCTCTCTCTCGATGCTCTCTGCTCTCTCAAATGTGTATATGTATGTATGCATGTGAGGCTCACATTGTGAGCACAAGCAGCAGCTCACGAAAATTGAAATTTCTTCGCAGCAAGAACCCATGTCTTCCCTTCTGAGTGAAGAGTATACCGAACTTTTCAAACCGTTTGCCATGCGTTTTCGTTATTATTTGTGGGAAGGGTATGAAAGGGTTGTGCGCATAATGAAAATGTTTTTGCGACGAGCATGCACACACACTTACCTGTGCACCCTTTATAATGGGTCCATTTAGCCAGTATATGTATGTATGTACATACATATGCTTCTTATTAAAAAGGTAAATTTCACCTGTATATGTGCAGGTACAAGGGATCGAAAATCGCATTCCAATTTGGCCACTGGGATTGATCAGGTACTACATTTCTAGCAAAAATCATTCTGATAGGCAAACCCACGATCATTGAAATAAAATCATCTACTTAATTATAAGCGCGCCTCTTCCTGTCAAACCCAAAATCGTTCACACAATTCTAAGTTGTCGTAGGCACTCGTCAATGCTCATGTCGCATGCATACACTTATAAACATACACACACGCACATACATATAAAGGCACTGAACTGCTTCTACAATGATTACCCCATCATTTGTGAGCATCGCGGCCCCTGCGTACAGACAATCAAACATATTTATGTAAGTGTGAGGAGTTCACAAGATCGACCAAATGCAAATGCTAGGATTTCAAATTGCTATAGCCAGCAAGGGCTTTGCACACAGGCATACAAATGCTCATAGTTCATGTAGCATACTGTAAGTGTGTGTGCATGCTCGTCGCAAAAACATTTCCATTATGAGCACCAACGCTTTCATACCCTTCCCACAAATAATAACGAAAACGCAAATATTTTGTAGGAGCTTGGCAAACGGTTCGAAAAGTTCGGTATACTCTTCACACAGAAGGGAAGGCATGGGTTCTTGCTGCGACGAAATTTCAATTTTCGTGAGCTGCTGCTTGTGCTCACAATGTGAGCCTCACATGCATACATACATACATACATACACATTCGAGAGAGCAGAGAGCATCGAGAGAGAGAGAGAGCAAGGGAAACATTGAGCATAGAGGGATCTTTTGTTCAAAATTTTACCACCTCGGTCGAGCGCATGAAGCGAAATGATTGTGCGTTCGTATTTTTTCGTAGCTCGAACCTAAAAGTAAGGAGCCGAGCGAGTCCAAAGCTGTCTGGGGTTGTAAAGCCTCAAAAAAAGCGTGCAAAAAGCTTTACACTAGTTGTCTAGTCTATGTGTTCTCTGGTTAGTGCCCAAACCTAAAAGTGAGGAGCCGAGCGAATACGAAGTTGTCTGGGTTGTTAACGTTCGAAAAAAAGTGTGCAAAACGCTTTACACTACGTGTCCGGTCTATGTGTTCTCTGGTTAGTGGTTATGCAAAGCGAACAGCTGATTTGACAGCGTGACGTCATTATTTCCGAAAATGGTGGGCGCGCGTTTGAATTTGTATGAAAATCAAGCAACACTGTTTGACACTGTTATTTGTCTTAAAACTAGTAGACTAAATAAAACGAACTGGGCGGCTAATCACATGTTCTATATAGATTCACGAATCGGAAAATATAAAGGTTTTTGCTAATTTTTATACTCTAAATTGTTTTCTAAGCAGTTATTGATCATGCAATCCCTTGACCACTTTTACTCTTGCATATAATGGACTTAACCTTACTATCTAAGGCTTGAATTTGTAAAGCTAAAAAGTTACTACTAAGTATTATGCATTTCCCATCAATCCGCATAATTATACGTACTAATTACATTCTTTATATTACAAATCCGATGGCCATAGATGATACGCAGCATTGTTAGCTTCTGTGTAAGTTTTAAGAGCTGATTCAGGAGGATTATGTGTTTCCTTAGGTTTCAATACTTATAATCATACAAGTTTACGACTTGGAAATTAATACACAAATATTAGTTCATTCTACCGGATGTTTCTGACATGACAGCAGGGGTGAGCAGCACCTTTATTGATGCAGCTTCAACGTGTACTATATTTAAATGTGTAGGTAAATTGGCATAAATAAACAATACTGATGGCGAAAACCCAGTTAACTATGTCCATCAACCATTCCTGCTGACTTATTGGCCATTTTTTGTGCATTCCCAGTTCATTCAATTATATACTTAATTTCTTTATTGTATCGTTATAAAATTAGTGATTGACCATTTTTAAGGTATTTACTATTGAAATTTCCTTATATATAGTTAATTTTGGTTGTTTTGGACGACTTAGTCGATCTCTGCTGAAATGCCTTCCAAGCTTCAGCCGGGATAACATAGCAAAATCTGATACTGTGACGTCACAAGAGAGCTGTTAGTTAACATTAAAAGTAACGGGACTGCTCTTTGCGCAACCTACTGTGTCTTTTAACAGTGATAAATGTATATCTGTTACACCTTTAAAGTTAGAGTCGCCAAACTTTAAATATAGATTCATATGCTTTGGCAACTATATGTTACATTCATAATATATTCATGAAGATAGTCCATCCACAATAAAAGTTATTAATCAATAAAATTTCCATAGTAAGCCACCACTGCAGTGGTGAATAAATGACTTTTATATTTGCATCTAAAGTACAAAATTTTATTTTTTTCGTAGTCTTTAACTCATATACCTTTCTATACACGAGTATATGTATTGTATGTCATAACAGAAACATAAAACAAGTAAGAAAGCTCTAGTCGAGACTGCTCGACTACGAGATCCCCTGAACCCTTGGAGCAATAGATATTTCAAAACTTTTTCGCGACTTTCAGCTTACACAAGAAACACGCACACACACACACACACACGCACGTACGCACACACAGGCATACATACACACACGCATACAGACACACATACACACACACACGCATACATACACAAACGCATACACACACACACATACACACACACATGCACAAACACATACACACACAAGCAACCACGCATAAACACGCATGGGCTGCAGTGAGCGCTTACTATGAGAACTTAATTGTTTAATAACTTTTTTTATGGACGTACGATCTTCATGAAACTTTTAGATTATGATTATAACATGAATATGCATTGCAATTGCCAAAGCACAAGTCTCTAGTATTTGAAATACGCTTTTTACAAAAGTGAGGGTGAGGGGGTGAATTTAGAGGTGGGGGGTAAATTTTAACAAAAACCGAAATTGTATAAATTGCATATAAGCATACATTAAAATTTTGGAGACTCTAGCAATAAAGGTGTAGAAGATATAATTTTATAACTGGGTTTCGATAAGGTTTTTTTTATCGATAAAAAAAGATCGAGATGAGTTATCGATTTTTAATGATAAACTTGATATGCGCGCTGTAATTACGGACATTTTAAAAAAATTTGAAGTCTCTAGCTCCTGTATCTTCTGAAATCGACGCGTTCATACATACGGACAGACGGACAGACGGACAGGGCCAAATCAACTCAGCTCGTCACCCTGATCAAGAATATATATACTTTGTGGGGTCTGCCACGCCTCCTACTGCCTGTTACATACATTTCAACAAAACCATTATACCCTGATTTCCCATTGAAAATGGGTTCAGGGTATAATGATGGGAAAATCAGATCTTCAAAAGTCGCATCATCTACAGCACCCTTATTTGTATTATTTTCAAACAACAAAAATGTTGATGTTTTGTGTAAATGTTAAATATGTACATTATGTACAATTATATATGTATGTATATTTCTAAATTTTGAATCTCTCGTAGTTTACAGTTTCTCCTAGCCAAGCAAAGCTGATTTGTTTTAACATTTTTTATTTAAAGGTACCCGGGATGACTGTATTAGATGTGACAAAATAATTGTTTCTGAAAATATTTTACACAAAAGAAAACCTTGCGACAAATGGAATAATCTGGACGACTCAACATGTGCTGGAAAACGAGTTCCTTTACCATCAGTAGAACGAAGTAGGTGTACTGAACAAGGCTCTTCCGTAGAATACAGCGATAAATAATTTGTACTCGTAGTTTTTATTAATTTAATGAAGAACTAATTTATTAAAACTTATTATTCATTCCGTATATTATTTTTACCAAATATTAAAAATGTTAAAACTAACAAACTCAATCTATTACTGGTTTAAACATTTTACTATCCTTAAATACACTGTTATAATTGCTTTCTTAAGTCATAGCACTAGCCATAGATCACATAGACCGGACATGCAATGTAAAACATTTTGCGACAACTTCGTATTCGTACGGTTCCTTACTTTTAAGTACGGGCTACGAAAATATACGAAACAACAATCATTTCGCTTCATGCGCTCGCCCGAGATGGTCGACATTTGAACAAAATTCCTTTGTTCTCTAATGTGCTCTAATCAGAGCTTGCAAATGAGAGTTGATCGTTCTTTCGTTTATTCTCTTCCTCGCATCATAACCAAAAAATTGTGCAGACACGTCTCGCTCTGAGCGTCACTCTCTGTTTTCTTTAGCATCTGTTTCGCTCAGACGCAATGCAATGACTCATTCATGTGACGCTCTCACACGAGTGTCACGTAAAGACTAACACGATTTTCCCTCACACAAAGACTCTCAGCAAAAAACACTTTGACGTGTGTGTGCGTGTAAATACACGCATACATACATACAAAAAGAACGCAGCAATCGCGCGTGATTACCCAGACAAACGCAACTTACCGTTACTTCATTTAACTCAAGCTAACGATCAGTGTTTGACTTGAGGAAACGAAAACCAAAATAACTGTCTCCCTCAGAGCGCGAGCGAGCTAAGCCAGACGCGACAAAAACAGTTTCTGTCTGAGTTTTTTTGACTGTGTCAGTGAAAGACACTTTTTTGCAGACAACGAAAAAGTGTTAACAGTTATTTGCGAGCCATGGCTCTAATGCATCACACATGAGATTTTTCTTACGAAAGAATCGAGCTGTTATCAACTTCGTGTTTGTATGCCCTATTGCCTATTCCTTTTATCCGTATAGTGTTAATGTGTGAAAATACAAGTACATAATTGCATATGTGACACGTCACTATTCAGATATTATTGTGCTGTGTGAACATAATTTTGAAGGAAAGTATTTCGCAGTGAGTTATAAATATAAATATGCTCTATCTGGAATGTATAAAGCATCTTAGATTTATTTTTAATGACAAAAAATTAATAATGTATATTTAACAGACGTTATTAAAACCGAAGGGTGGGTTCAGAAAGATCGGCAGGCAATGCAAAAATTTGACCACAAAAAAAAAAAATAATAATAATAATGATATAATAATATAGATAAATAAGTATGTAGTTAAATATGTATGTAAATATAAACTGAATGAATTTAGATTTTAGGAATGTAAATAAAATGTAGCTAAAATGACATAATAAATTATAAATATTATAAATTTAAACAAGTAAGAAAGCTCTAGTCGGGACTCCTGCCAGGGCGTCAACCTTGTAGAGGGAATCGTATCGGCTGGATACGTTTGATCCCGCGGCCTTTTCAGAGGTCATTCAGTCTCTGGGCACAACTGGTAATGCTGAGGGCAGAGCATGCCAAATTGTAACCCAAATTCAGAGTGCCTGCAATAGGAGCATGTTTCGCCGCAAGCAGTTCACGCGACAACAAGAGCCTACGTATTGGTGGAATGCACAAATAAGTGACATCCGACGCAAATGCATCCAGGCGAGAAGAAGCTACCAACGGGCTCGCGGTAGGTCTACGTTTTTTGAGAAACTATTAGCTTGCCAGGTAGCTAGAAAACAGTTGAAGACGGCCATTAGAACAAGTAAAAGAGAATGTTTCTTAGAGTTGTGTGACTCTTGGGGCAGAGCATACAAGATAGTAGTTAAGTAGTACGAAGGTAAACATGTGCAGCCTACGGATCGCTAGGAGCTTAAATCGATTGTGGAAACGCTCTTCCCAGAAAGATTAAGCTCCATTCATGCCCCTGAGTCCGAGTCTGCTGACCAGGGCTCAACGAGCACTCAAATTGTTTTAGTTACAGACGAAGAAATCTTAGTAGCTTTCAGAGGTCTTAAAGCTAACACAGCTACAGGGCCGGACGGGATCCCAAATCGTGCGCTAAAATTAGCCCTCGCCTTGCACCCTAGTACGTTTGCCGAATTATACAACAAATGTTTAATTCAGGAGACGTTCCCTGCAACCTGGAAGAACCAGAACTGGGTATTGCTAGCCAAGGTTGGCAAACCACCAGACGAACCATCTTCGTATATACCAATCTGTCTCTTAGACACCATGGGAAAGGTTTTTGAGAAACTGATTTGCTCTAGACTGGAGACTTCTATTGCTAGCGTCGGAGGCCTGTCACCTAACCAATTTGGTTTCCGGAAGGCTCGGTCAAAAACAGATGCGCTAGAAAATGTTGCTGGCCTGGCAACTTCCGCCATCCAAGGCACCAGATGGAGGCACGGGACGAAACAATACTGCATCAAAGCGACCCTGGATGTAAAGAATGCCTTTAACACAGCTAGTTGGGATATGATACTGCTCAGTGCTGGGACCTCTCCTATGGAATATTATGTACGACGGCGTATTGCGCTTGGAACTTCCAGCCGGTGCGCACACCATTGGCTTTCTGATGATGTGCTGTCGTCACCATAGGCAAGGACCTTAAAGATACAGAGGATATGTGCAGCGAAAGTATCAATCGGATACGAAACTGGTTGACAGGAGCTGGGCTCGAGCTAGTGGCACACAAAACCGAAGTCGTCTTAGTAAGCAGTCGCAAAAGAGTGGAAACTGCCAATATAAAGATCGGCAGCGTCACCATTGCGTCAAAGAGGGCGATAAATTATCTTGGCGTCATGATAGACACAAGTTTAACTTTCCGCGAGCACCTAGAATATGTGCATAAATAGGCAGCATGATTCCTGTATTATGCTTAACACGCGGTGACAAAAACAGCAACGACGTTTCCTTCTAATAAGCGTCATTAGGCCCGTCATCCTCTATGCTGCGCCAATATGGTCAAGAGCGATGGCAAAGAGCTACAGCCGGGGCATTTGCGCCACCTACAGACTGTGCGCAATCAGAGTATGCTGCGCGTTCAGAACAGTCTCTGAAGACGCGGCGCTCGTTATAGCCGGTATGGTGCCTCTGGAGGACTTAGTCGCCGAAGCCGTGGAACGGAATGCACATGAGCCTCTACGACGCAACGCGGCCACAATTACGATGGAGCTTCGCAGAATCGAGCGAAGACGAGCTGTCCCAGGCTAAGGAAGTGCAAAGTGCTTGCGAAACAATGCTTTACGGCCGTCCCGCAAGCATCGTGCGCTACCCTTAGCCACCTTAACACATATCTATATATATAAAAGAGAGTTGTGTAAAAGTGTCTTAGCACTTATAACTCGAGATCTGCTGGACCAATTTTCATGGTTTTTGATTTGTTGGATTTGTCTCCGGAACGAGTAGGACAGTAGATCTTTAAAATACTGAAAAAATTTGACGAATACTTGAAAAACGCGGTTTTTTCCCTAAAGATTCAAATTTCCATTTATACTCAGTAGCCTTGACAACAGTGACAGTTTCGGTCCTGTATAGAAGTAAATAAACAAATGTAGTCAGTCAGTCTACGGCACAGCCTCGAGCAGACCTGACTATTCAACAAAAAAAAAAAAAAAAAAAAAAAGACTATTCAAAAAAAAAAAAAAAAAAAAAAAAAAAAATCAAAAAGAAAAATATTTCAAATCAAAAATCTGCAAAAATTCAAAAAAATCAAAAGATTAAAACCTGACTGTTCAAAAAATAAATAAAAAATTCAAAATTCGAAATTAAAAAAAAAAAAAGTTTATTATTAAAAAGTGTATTTTTGGCTTTTTATATTTTTGGACTTTTAAACTTTATAAATAATAATTGTGCGCGTGCGTACAAAAGCTAAATATCTCGAAAGTTCAGGTATTTGTTTGTCTCAAACATAAATTTGTGTAAATTATTTATTTTTATATTTCTCGATTGTTTTATATGGTTTTGTGCGAGGGCATATTCAGTATTACTATTAATAAAAATGCCGCGTCCTAATCTTTCCCGGCGGACCCATAATGCAATTAGGCAACGGAATATCGCGAGTCAATTATCTGACGAAGAGCGAGAAATCGCCCGAGAAAGGCTCCGCGTTAGTACCCAGCAAAGAAGGGCCTTAATTCGTGCTTCTCAAAGAGAGGCAGCCCGTGAAATGGCAATAAGAAATGGTTCAAGGATTGATTTGAATCGAGAAGCGTTTCGATATGATTGCACCATTGACTATAGCTTGAATCGTTTAGTTTGCATTGGTCCAATGGACGTTGCTTGCCAGCATTGTGGCGCATTGAAGTTTGCTGGTGAAACGCCCGGTTTGTGCTGCCTTAGTGGTAAAGTGACATTTCCATTAGTGGTCCCGCCACCAGAGCCATTGCGTTCCCTACTTTTCTAGCGAGCACTCAAAAATACAATGCCTGTTTCCAATTCGGGGCAGAGACAAATCCAACAAATCAAAAACCATGAAAATTGGTGCAGCAGATCTCGAATTATAAGTTTTGTAACAAACTCTACTTTGTTTTATATATATAGAGACTGTTAGGCGGTACGAAGTTCGCCGGGACAACTAGTTGTATTATATACGTACAGTTGTTAATAAACGAATATAAAAAAACAAGTAAGAAAGCTCTTGTCGAGACTGCTCGACTACGAGATCCCCTGAAGCCTTCGAGCAACTGATATTTCAATAATTATACGTATATGCACACATACACGCACACACACAGACATACGTACGCACGCATAAACACGCATTGGCTGCAATGTTGGCTTACTATGGGAAGTTAATTGTTTAATAACTTTTTTTATGGACGTACGATCTTCATGAAACTTTTAGATTATGATTATAACATGAATATGCATGTAATTGCCAAAGCACAAGTCTCTAGTATTTGAAATACGCTTTTTACAAAAGTGAGGGTGAGGGGGTGAATTTAGAGGTGGGGGGTAAATTTTAACAAAAACCGAAATTGTATAAATTGCATATAAGCATACATTAAAAATTTGGAGACCCTAGCAATAAAGGTGTAGAAGAT